GAACAAAAGCAAAAAGCAAAAAGCAAGACAGGAGGCTGTGCAGGCCTGTCTAAAGTGGAGGGGAGTGAGCGTTCCCACTCCAGCTTACGCGGAGCATGAAATTTAGGTTCATGACGCCTGGGTCAGTAGTTACCTGCTTCAACACCGTCAACTCAAGAATTGATTTTGCAGGCGGTTCTTTTTCGGCTCAGGGTATTCAGACTGGGCCATTCACGATTTTCGGATGGGGAGGGATACAGAGATAAAAAAAAAAAGCCTAAGGTTTTGGGTGAATCATCATTCAGCCAGGAGAGAGTTATGTGCTGCGATGTGATGCAACTCTCGCCACAACAACAAAAGTAAATTGTGGCTCTGTACTGTACATGCAATACAATACATTCCGGGATTAATATGGCTCTCAAAATAATATTATGCTGAGACAAGGAGGAGGAATGGTTGAGGCTCGCTTGTCACCATCGCCATTGATCTGAGAAGGCATGCAGTGTTGATGTTTCAAGTCCAAGTTGGTGAATTTGATTAATCTGCTGTACTCTGTATTGGGGCTCTTTGGCCGGTTGTTTTGGGCAAGTTTGGCCTATGTATGTACTCTGGGCGCCGCGTCTCCAGCGAAGATCTGAATGGCAACCAACAATGACATCAGCAGCAGTGTGGAGGATGGTGTTGCACAGCGTACGGAGTACATACTGGGCGTAAATAAACCCACGGCGGCTCAGCCCCCTCCCACTAAAATTACGCAGTTCGTAGCGCCGTCCACCCAGGCGTGCTGGAGTACGGAGTACAGAGTAGATACCAAGATACTTCGCAGGATTTGAGTTTCGATGGTATTGTATTGTATGTACATACAGTATGCCAATAATACTCGGACATGCCATGCCACCAAAATGTTTACCCGCAAGACGTATTACGAGATACCCGGCCTAACCGCTTCTGGTCACCACCGTGGCTTTCCCAACTTCTCCGTTCATCCCTCCTTTCTTCTTTCTGCTTCTTCTTCTTCGTCTGCTCCTCTTTATCCTTCTTATCTCCATCTCTCCGCCAGGTTGTCTCTCTGGCTCGACAACCCATCCTGGCGTTTACCTACCTGCCATCACCTACAACATCACGCATCAGTCGTCTTCCACTCGCTAAGCTTTCTTTTTTTCTCTTTGTCCCACTTTCCAACCTTGTGGAACGGTCACGATCGCTGCTATCACCACCATCTTATCCGTTTACTGCGAAAATACTGCCACGCAACTCTGCTCGCTCGTCTGCTCCATATCAGTCTTTACGAACTCTCCTTATACTTGCCTCGAAGACCATTTTATCGTTGTTGTACATTACATCCAACAGGGCCGAACCTAGGATACATCTGTAACCGAGGACGCAAAAATCCTCTAAGATCATCGAACCCGCCTTGACCTTGCTTCATCGGGTTGGCACTGATAATATACAAGGAAAAAGGTGCTCTGGAGTGCCTGGCCCTTCTTCTAGAGAGGACAAATCCTTGATATCAATTTAATCCCATTTCTTCTCCCCCGACTGTTCCAACTTGCAGCAGTCACGATGAACCTCCTCACATTATTTTCGTATTTCGTCGCCTTCCTCCAGTTCGCCCCTTCTGTCTCTGCCGTGAAATTTATCCGGTCAGATTCACTCAGCCCTTGCCAGGACAACTCAAACTTTACCACCAGTTTATTCAATATTGTCCTCACCCCTGAAAATAATTCCATCTTTGTGCAACTTATTGGCATATCGTCAATTGAGGGCAAAGTTACCGCAACAGCACATGTGTTCGCATATGGACATCCAATACTAAAGGAAGTTCTAGATCCGTGCACAATGAAGGGCGTCGACTTGAAAGGGATGTGCCCCATGCGGGCCGGCCCCATCAAGTACGACTTCAACCTCTCGAATCTTCCTAAAAACGCGCTCAGCAAAGTACCAAGTGAGTTTTCCACTCTATAATCCTACCCTTTTGTCCACTACCACTACTCACTACCACAACTCCCCATATCTAACCACAAACGCAGCCATCGCATACGGAGTTCCTGACCTTGACCTTACGGTTCGAGTTTATGTCAATCAAACCTCAACTGGCAGAAGCATTGCTTGTCTGGAAGCCCGGCTCTCCAATGGCAAAACTGTCTATCAGAAAGCAGTAGGTTGGGTTGTCGCAATAATTGCGGGACTTGGATTAGTTGCGTCTGCAATCACATCAGGGCTTGGCCATTCGAACACCGCTGCCCATGTCGCAGCAAATGCGCTCTCCCTATTTGGTTTCTTCCAGGCTCAAGCCATGATCGGAATGTCCAGCGTCAGTCTCCCACCAATCGTGCAGTCCTGGACTCAAAATTTCCAGTGGAGCATGGGCATCATCCATGTCAAATTTCTACAGAGAATTTGCACTTGGTACCAGCGATCGACTGGCGGCACCCCATCCACAATCTTGTCGACTCTCGGGTCTATTTCCGTTCATGTGCTGAAGCGATCCCTTGAATTTGGCAATCTTCCTAGCGGTCTCACGAAACGGACAAACAACGACAACCCTCTCAGCGAGAAAGTGAGGAGTACCACGGTTCGGGGAATCGAAAGAGTTGGATTCCGCGCTAATATTGAAAAGACGAACATCTTCATGACTGGCTTGATCTTTTTTGTCTTTTTCGTCGCCCTTGTCCTGGGGCTTGTAGCATTATTCAAAGCATATTGCGAAATTGCGTCCAAGAAGGGTTGGATTAAAGGTGACAAATTCCAGGACTTCCGGAACGGATGGAAGATTATCATGAGAGGCATTTTGTTCCGATTAGTAAGTTGACAATATTCTGAGCGTCGAATTAAGGGGACATCCTAATGATTATTGCTCTACAGGTACTTATCGGGTTTCCCCAAATGTGTATTCTCTGCCTGTGGGAACTTACTAAACGAGATTCGCCCGCTGAAGTCGTTCTGGCCGTGTTCATGCTCATTGCGATGACCGCATCCCTCGGTTTCGCTGCATTTACAGTCATTCGCCTGGCCAAGAAATCCGTGGAGCTACATAAAAATCCCGCTTACATCCTATATTCAGACCCAGCAGCCCTGAACAAATGGGGCTTCCTCTATATTCAGTACAGGGCAACAGCCTACTATTGCGTTATTCCCGTCCTGGTCTACATCTTAGTTAAAAGCATGTTCATCGGATTGGCACAACCGGCTCCCACTGTTCAAGCTGTTGCTCTCCTTGTCATTGAAGCAGCTCTTTTGATTGGTGCCAGTGTGCTGAAACCGTGGATGGACAAGAAGACTAACATTTTCAACATCTCAATCGCCGCGGTCAACTTTTTCAATGTCATCCTTCTGCTCTTCTTTACCCACGTGTTTAATCAGCCAGTAAGTGGCACTTAACCCTCACCCTTAAACCGCTTGCATCTGAACCGAATTGAGCTAACAATTTACAGGGTCTTGTCACTGGCGTTATGGGAGTCGTCTTTTTCGTTGTCAATGCAGCATTCGCGCTTATCCTACTTATCCTGGTCTTAATCTCATCAGTGTATGCTATCGTGTCTAAAAATCCGGATACAAGATACCAGCCCATGAGAGACGACCGCGGATCCTTCATCAAATCCCAAACCCAGCTGACAACGGAGCTCGATGCTCTTGGAGCGACGGCTCGCGGTGAATCGAAGACATTTGAAGACGCATCCTCGCTATCCGGCTCATACCCCCACCGGGCAGATTCCCCAGCACAAAGCCTTCAGCGCCAACAACCGCTCTCTCCGCTGGATTCCTCTGTACCTTTATTCCCCGCCGACAGCCAAGTTCGCAACGGCCCACCCCCAACATATCAAACCAATTCTCCAGGCGGAGGTGCAGGATACTCTCGAGCACAAAACATCTCCCCAGCGCCCCGAAACCTTACCACGTCACCATTCCCACGATCTCCTTCCGCGAATTCGAACCCAGCTCAGTATAGAATGAACAATAATAGCAGTCCATGGCAACGTGGCGCTGGATACGAGCATTAAACTTGGAAGAGCATTTCCAGCATTTTGTCTACTTTGAAATCAAGAGATGGGGTAACTCAGGGCTGTGGATTAGCGCCTTCTGTGCCTACTTGTTTTCATAATATTACGTTCTCGTGGGTCGTATTTATGGCGTCAGTCATGTCTCTTAAAAGGCTCTTTGCTTTTTTTTCCCTTTCCTTTTGAACTCGGAACATTCAGCCTCCTCTGCATCTCCCAATGATACACCTAGCTTTCCTCGTTGCGACCTGCTCAACCGTTACTTTTTGCTTTGTCCTTCCTAGGCGTTCATATGGGACATTTATGTAATTTGCGGCAAAGAATCCGGCTATTCCATTCCATTTTCTTCATCTCTTTTCCATCTCATTTTCACATTTATTTATTTTATTTTATTTTAACCTTGGCATTATATGCCCAAACCCTTACAAAAACAAATTTTTGACCACAATTGTTGTACCTTGAACGTGCTTTTCCTCTGCTTTATAAATAATTTTTTCATTCCATCTTATTCTCATTTTACCTTTTACCTATCCACCACTCACCTGAAGATGAAATCATGAGCCCTTTTTATCTCAATTTACTTGTTTCTTCAACTCAATCTCCATATGTGAGGAAGCATTAAGCATTGGTGCGTCAAAAGGACCTGAAAATCAATATGACCACATCACTATGCCTTCTCTCTCCACACTTCATTTTCCCTTCTTGATATATTCTACGTTCAACATATACTTGTTTTCCCTTTCCCCTTAATGTAATAATGTGTCTATTTTATTGTATATTTTAATATTTGCCTTCGTTTTCTTCTTTTTTTTGTTTCATATTTAAAACCAGGTTACATACAACAAATACCTCCTGTTGAACATATGTAGTAATAGCTCTCTCTACATAATGCCAAAAATATATTGCAGGCCTGGTTCAGTAAACAAACGCAATGAATAATGACGATGCGCGATTGAAGGAAGGTTTGAATACTTCACATAATGACTTATCGCCAAATCGGCCAAAGTCCCCCGACGAAAAGCGTCCTCGATGGTCTAGTGGTGATGATTTCCGCTTGTCATTTTAAAAAAAAAAATTTCAAGCGCGGGAGACCAGGGTTCGATTCCCTGTCGGGGAGAGAAATGTTAAATTTTTTCCTTTTCCCTTCTGTTTTTTTTGTTTTTTGTTTTTTGTTTTTTGTTTTTTTTTTTCTCGCTTTTCCTTTTGCCCCCTTTCCTCCGTCAGAGTAATTTGGTGGGAAATTATTTCTTAAGTAATTTACCCCCTTTTTGGTTTTTGCTCTTCAAATGGGAATTTCGCCCGAAGGATGATAATAATGCATGGCATAAATATGAAGCTATATATATATATATATCGTTGTACGTAATTGTCGTGTCTTGCCAAGAGCGCAATAGGAGATAATTTCCTTATACCATTCATTATTCAGGAACTTTTTGAAACAAGAAAGAGAAATAAACCACAGATTGTCCCCTGTCAGGCATCGAAGCGTATATAGAGTAAGGAGTAGTATGCTCCGGTAAAATATTAGATGTTTTTGGTTGCACTGGCTGATGGATAGATAGGTAATGAATAAATTGAATGAATCCGATTTCTAATAAAAGGCACCCTCCCGATTCTAAAGAAATAATAAGGCACACACACACACAAAAGGACATTGATGACAAGTTTTATATGGCCATAGAAACGAGAGAGATCAAAAAAAAAAAAAAAAAAAAAAAAAAAAAGGGGGGCAAAGAAAGAAAGAAAGAAAGCGAAGCAAA